CCCGCGGTGAGGGAGGCGCGGGGCGGCGGCGCCGAGCGGGTTAAGTGGCTCGCTGGAAGTCCTACGGTCCCAGCAACGGGCCGGCCAATGGGAAGTGAGCCGGCTGATGTCACTGGCAGCACCCCGCCAATCAGCGCCCGGTCCCGAAAGGTGCGCAACGCTTGGAGGCGCGGGGAGCGGCGGGCGCGCGCTCCGGCCCGGCCCCCCCCGCGCCGCTGCCGGGGAAGGGCGGGGGGGCGGCGGGGATGCCCCGCCCGGGCGGGCTGCCCGTGACCCCGGCGCGACCCCGCCCGCGCTGGGTGCCCCTTCCCTGCCCGCGGCACCGGCACCCGCCGGATGGGGCTCCCCGTACTGCCCCGGGACGGGGACCCTGGTCCACGCGGGCAGGAGACGGGAGGACGGGCGCTGTGCAGGAGGCGGGACCCCGCGAAGCTCCCCGGAGAAAGCCGGCGGCGGCGCTACGCGCTCCATCAGCGTCGTCGTTGAGACAGGCGGCTGCGTACGGCGGGGAGAGGGGACCCCTCTGTGCCCCCACGGTGAGCGGGGCCGGTGCCTCGGCGGGGGTCGCCGAGCGGCACCACCGGGGAAGAGTTTTAGAGCCACCTGGTAGTGCCTGCCGTTCTGCCAGTGTTGGCAGAAATAAAGGTCAGGTTGACGCTTACCCCGTCGCCAAGTAAGTGCCATCCAGCCTAATCGAATCCCGAAAACCTGTCACGTCTACCCAAATAACACGCCCCCATCTCTGCCCCATCGAGCGCGCAAAGCTCATGGAGTGTTACGAAAGCGGACTGACCTGCGCTCAGCCAGAGAAGAGTGAAAAATTGGCTTCTGGATCGAGCACTATTTAAAAAAAGGAAAAGAAATTACCATTATCGCTAAACCACCAGTACTGAGGTGTGAAGTATGTCAGTGTGTTTTGCTGCTTTGCAAGCATCAGGAGAGAGAGTAACAAAAAGACTCTGCCTTTGAGATAATGCCCATGAGCCTCTATACGGCAGTACCCAAAGTAACATGGGTGCCTCTGAAATCACCGTGTAGATGGAGAAGCACTCCTGTCAGACAGAGGAGGTTTTCCCAGCTTTTGTGAACTGCATCCCAAAGAGACCGAGTCCTGGCAGGCCAGGGTCCCTAACTGAATCTTCTGTCCTCAGCTGCAGCCCACCCTTCCTGACAAAAACAGACAGGCCCTGAATGGTGAAGAGCATTATGGACTGCTATTAATTTCATTAGCTGAATGTGGAAATGATGAGGAAGTAGCTACCGAAATGAGGCAGTGTTGTTCCTTTCCTGCAGGAGATAAAAATTAGTGATGTCAGCCATTTTGTATGCTAAAACACTAGATCGCTATGTGTGTAACCTTGAGCAGTAATAATCCTGTGCCGTGGATAATTGGCATCAGCCATGGATAATTTTATGTGCCATAACTCAGAAAAAAAAAAAAACCCAAACCAACAAACAACCACTGAAATGCACAAACAAAACAAAAGAGCTAGAGGCTAGGTCTGTAAGTGGATCATCTGTAGGCTGATGAAGACCAAAGAGAGAATGTGAATAGAGCAATGTACCTAACGAGGTGGTCTTCAGGTTTCAGTCATCAGTCAGCAAGTCACTGAACCCTGTTCTCACAGCATTTTCCCCAGCTAATGTAGCATCCATTAGCCTCTGGTGCTTAAGAGACACCAGGCAGAATCAGAGGTGTGATCTCCAGGTCTGATAGGAAAGAGGAGCAGAAGGTATTGTTGTTTCTTTACCACTGAAGCTCTTGATATATGTCTGGTTTCTGTATAGTACTGGTGCCTACAACCTTCTGTTTCCTTCAGAGGGGCAACAGCATTTTACACAGAAAATAGCATCTCAGGTTTGTTAATCTGGACATCCAGGATATAACTTCACAAGCTACATGTTTGTAATCTTTTTTTTCACAGCATTTTCAGAGCTTCTTTGGCTGACAGTGTCCAAAAGTTCCTGCTAGGAGATGTCCTAACCCACGTTTCAGTAACATGCAAATAGCTTTCCAGAAGGTGACTTGCTTATTTCATGTCAGATACTCATATTAGTAAATACCTCTTACATTAATTTGTACAGTTCAGAGAGGAAAGTGTCAATAACAAAAGAGACAAACCTTTTTTGTTTGCAAGCTTGTTTTGTTTTGAGGTAACTCTTGGCTAATTTAAAGATTAGAGCATAATCTGTGCCCAGTTCCACAATGAGGAAGCATACCAAGCTTTTAAAATAATTCCAATATTCCTCCAAGAATTACTGCCTATTAAAGAATATACTGCCTATAAATATATCTAGTAGTCCAAAAGGCCAAGACTCCAAGTGAATTAGGTCCAAACAATACTTAAAAAGCAATGCCAATGTTATACAGAATTGTATACTTGGAGAGAGTATCAAAATGACCATGTCTACTTTCTGAACAGCAACACACACGTGCCTGGAAATGGGATTGTGCTCACAATCCTGTTTCTCTCCAGATGATACAGGCCATTGTTGGAACTCAAGACATCTCTCTGGATGCCCTGGATAGCTCAAAGCCCTGGCAGGGGTTCGGAGACCCTGGCAGGAAGCCAAAGACACCTGGAAATTTGATCTCAACCCATGGAGCAAATTACCACTTTATATGAAGAATTACAGGTCACAAAAATTTAAGAAGCATAGTAGTAACAGTCACAGGGTGAAAAGAGAAATTTTGGAACACTGTACAGGGGGGTTTTGAACCTTGTACAGGGGGGTTTAGAATTCTACACATAGAAGTCAAGGGTTCCAAGATGGAGGGATTTGGGTGTGCCCTGTCCTCCTTCTTTTGTCTCCCTAGCATCCATGTTCAAGATAATATTAGCATTCACAAATTAGTTTAGAGTAAAAAAAATCACTGTCTAACATAGATGATAAGTATTGAAACATAATTGTAAATATAGTATACGTAGTTTTTAGTATAAAAGATAGCACCAACCCAAAAGACAGAGAGTGTGCCTCAGACCGACCTGCAGAACAGACCTTGGCAAGCCAGACAAAAAATGTTTGAGATAAAGAAATAATAACCTTAAAAACGTGAACCAAAGACTTCTCGACTACTTCTTCAGCTGCTAAGTTGGAAAAAAGAGATTTTTAACAAAGACACACCTCGAAATCTTCCCAATCACACCAACCAAGCCAGACCAGAGGAGATCCCGAAAGGCCATCACTCAGATTTGACTGTGCTGATGGTAATACTTGGATATGGTTTCAGAGCGTGCATTTAATACCTAGTTTGGTTTATAATTCACAGCTAATTCTTTGCAATAAGTAGGCTAAACAAGGATGTTCTCTTAGACTGTACAAATGAGGTGTGAAACTTGGCAGAGGGGTAGGACCTAGGTGATCTTTAAGGTCCCTCTCAACCAAAACCACTCTATGGTTCTGAACCCACAACAGCACTTACACCCTTTGTCACCCGAGGGCACTCACTTGTGAAAGCCTGGAGCACAAATTCAACCCACTGTTTACAGCTCCAAACTAGCTTCTGGTGGGCAGAACACCAGCTTCTGGTGTTTGCTCTCTGCACAGTGCCTGGGTACAGGAATGTGGCACATCTGGGTGGAGTCAGGGTGGAAGTTGTCAGTGGCCGCTTTTAAGGCGGCTGCTGGTTCTCTGGTTTGGAGGAGAGTGCATGGACAGGAACTGTCATGGGGACTTGTGAGCAATGAAAACTGTGACCTCCAGGTGAGGAAGAAAGGCACAGGTGGGTCTCAGGTAACAGCCAGGGATCATGCTTGAGGGGAGCAGAGGGAGATGTTGCAGGGGAAGTAGCAAAAGTGAGATTCAAGGGTCTGCAAAGAAGGTGAGGGAGAACAAGTCTGTGTGTGAAGGAGAAGGACTCTTCTCACCAGAGGGATGGGCACAGGTTCTGTGAGAGATGTAAGCCTGTGGAGGAAGAAGAGCTATTCATTATTCCTGGTGCTTTCAAAAATGTTTTCTGTTTTCAAAACCAGAACTTTTCAGAATAAAAGCCATGTCAACTATCCTTTACTCCATGCCCCCAAGTCTTGTGCACCATGTGCCTGTGCCTAAAACATTGCACCCTCTTTCTGGAGAATGAGGATGACATGCACCTGGCAGGCACTCTTGGAGAGACCAGACTGTGGGAACACTCAGGTTTTTGCTCTAAAAGCCAATTTATGTAATGACCTTTAGTGCCACTGTGGCTAAAAAACCCCTTTATTTTGAGGAGCAAATGGTCTCGTAAAGACAGTCTGACTCAGGTGTTCTGCTTCAAACCTTGTTCTATTGCTTTTTGAGGGGTGCTCTGTGGAGCACAGAGGATTCTTCTCTGATGGTAACTTTGTTCCAAGACACAATGAAGAAATCTTTCTTTCTTCTGTATTAACATTTCCTAATGTTTGAAAGTCACAGGCTCCAAACATTGTTCCAGATTCTGCTTTAACTTTTTTCATTCTCCAAGGCTCATGGTGTAAGCTCCAAATGATTTGACAAGATGCTGAGGGATTGATAAATTGTTGGTAATGGCTGAAATTATATATCAAGATAATGGCCCGTTTGCTGACGTGTTCTTAAAGCCCGAGGCCATGCTGAAAATTCATGACTGACATTCTGGCAACATGACAGAATGGTAATTCAGCTGTCATATAAATATGAACACGTTATATTTTACATGTGTGTGGTATCTTTCATACCAATGCATTGCCCACGTAGTCTGCATGTATCGTCAGGGAAATAGAGCAACCTCTTCCACCAGACAGCTGCCACAACTCTCATTGTGAAGACTGGTGGGGTAGGAAGGAAGTGCTTTAACCTTTTGAAGAAATGACTCTCAGTCACTGAACAGACAGAGCAGACAAAAAGTTGCTTTATGTGAGCAACAGAAACCTT